TTAGGGTAATGCAAATTAAAACCACAACGGCATACACACATATCAGAATGACTTATTTTTTTTTAAAAAAACCACCAAATTCTTGCAAGAACACAGAAAAACTAGGTCATTTCTACATTGCTGGTGAGAATGTAAAATGGTACAACTACTCTAGAAAAGCATCCGATTTTTTCTTACAAAACTAAATGTGCACCGTGTGACCCAGCAATTGCATATTTTGGCATTTATCCCAAAGAAAGGAACATTTATGTTCACATAAAAACCTATAATTAATGTTCATAGCAGCTTTATTCATAATAACCCCAAGCTACAAATGATAACCCAGATTTCCTTCAACAGATGGATAGTTTAACAAACTGATACATTCATGCCCTGGAATAGTACCAAGCAACAAAAAGGAACGGAGGATTGATACACTCAACAACTAAGATGGATCTCTGCCAATCTCAAAATATTACATAATGCATGATTCCATTTACATAGCACTCTTGAAATTACAAAATCATAAAGATGGAAAATAGATCAGTGGTTGCCAAAGGTTGCAGAGGGAGGTTATGGCAATAAAAGGGCAACACAGGAGATTCTGGTGATGGAACTGTTCTCTGCCTTACTGGTACTCATCATATTTGATATAATTGCATAGAACTAAAGACAGCCACATATACTCACATGTACACAACTGAATACATGCAGAACTGGTGAAGTCTGAATAAAGTTGGTGGAGGGTATCAATGTCAATTTCTTTTTGAGATATTGTTTATGCAAGATATCATATGTTATTGATGGAAACTGGAGGAAGTGTATAAAGGATTTGTCTTTCTGTATTATTTCTTACAACTGCATGTGAATCTGCAATACCTGAAAATTTTATATATATATTATGTGTGTGTGTATATACACATATAAATGTATATATACACACATATATACGTATAAATGCATATATATACATGCACAGATATACATATAAATATATATACATATAAATTTAAACTTTAGAAAAAGAGAAAATGTATTTTCAGATGATAGAATTGAATATGTAGAAAAATAAAAGATTTAATTTCCATTGGCATTTTAAAGAAAATGTGATATGGTGAATAATATAATTATTAACTCTGTGTGTGTGTATTAATTCATTTAGAATAACAATGGGAAATATTCTGTTCACAATAACAAACCACATATACTTACTAGTAAATATAGTAGGAAATGTGAAGGATCTATATGAAAAATAGAAGATGAAACACAATTAATGTACCTAAAGTTTAAAGTTTTCAAATTCACTGTGTATGTATAAGGCTATTTTAATAAGATTCCCATTCTGGTGGATTTTAATATGATTTTTAAGCTCATATGAAAGAACAGACGTTTGAGAATTGCCAAAATAATATTTGAAAAAAGTATTTGAAAAAAAGATTGTATGGTATGCTGCATTTGCCTTACACGGTGTTTTTTTGTTTGTTTGTTTTACATATGCCCAAAAAATACAGTAAACAAAATATGTGGAATTTACCTAGGAGCAAAAATATAGTAAATTTTTCAATTCAGTTGATAAGGATCATTTATTTAATAGATTGTGCTATCATAATCTACTTTCCACTGAAAGTTAGACTCCTACCTCCTACCTTTACCTATATAAATTTCATTGGATCAACTAAATAAATGCATATCAAAGAGAGATGGTAAAATGTAATCATCTAAGAATTAAAGGGATTGTATTGGACAAATTAGGGTGCATTTATATAATCTCAGGAAACTTTAAATTGTGAAACTTGTCTATACCCAAATCTGGTCTTATTGAGATATCTCATAGAATAAATATATTTCTGAAATCCTGATAAAGTTAGCTCATCTGATTAAAATCCCAAACTCCTATGACAGAAAATTAATTCTAGCATCAAAGCTTTTTTGCTGTGTCAAACAAAAAGCAGTCATTCTTTTTTCTAAAATGCTCTCATCCCTTTACTTGTCCATGCCGTTCCCTTTCTCTGTCTTTTGAAACCTGTAAGGCCCAGGTCATTTAACTTTTAAAAATAAAAATGAATAGATTTTATTTTCAAGAGAAATTTTATGTTCACAGAAAAATTGAACAGAAAGTACAGGGATTCCATTTACCCTTACCTTCACATGGGTAAAACCTCCCCCATTGTCAACATCCCACATGTGATACGTTTACTATAACTGATGAACCTACATTGACACATCATTATCACCCAAAGTTCATATTTTACTTTAGGGTTCACTCTTGCTGTTGTACATCCTATGGATTTGGACAAAAGTTTAATGACATGTATCTACCATTCTAACTACTAGTATCTTTAGAGTCTCCATTGTTTACATTTTCCAGCATGTTACATAGTTGGAAGCATACAGTATGGAGTCTTTTCACACTGGCTTCTTTCACTTAATAATTTAAGGTTCCTCCATGTCTTTTCATGGTTGATAGCTCGTTTCTTTTTATCACTTCATAGTATCACAATATCTGGACCACAGTTTATCCATTCACCTACTGAAGGACAGACATCTTGGTTGCTTCCAAATTTTGGCAGTTATATATAAAGCTACTATAAACATCCATGTGCAGATTTTTGTGTGGCTGTAAGTTTTCAGCTCATTTGGGTAAATACCAGGGAGCACAATTGTTAGATTACATGTTTAGCTTTGTAAGAAACCGCTAACCTGTCTTCCAAGTATCTGTACCATTTTTCATTCCCACCAGCAATGCATGATATTTGGTCATTATATTTTTCATTATATTTTTCACTGAAGCCTTTTCTGATTGTTTTTGCAAGATATTTTCCTTCCTTTGTCTGAGCTCATACAGTACTCTGTATCCTCATACTGACATCCATCGTATTCTTTATTGCTTTGTGTGAACCCCTCGGGGCAGGACATAGATATGTCTCCTGCACCTCACAATACTTCACTTAACACCTTGAAAATTAAGAGCCCTAGTATTTGTTGAATGAATAAGGTAAATATAAATTTTGTTGTGTCAGACTGTCAAATGGAGCATTTTGTTTTACAAATCTATATATAATCACGTCTCATACTAGGCTTGGGTCAAACAATTCTCACTAGTTCCATCTGTTATATTTTTTTCAGTTGTTTCTGAACAGTTATTTTGTGGGTTAACTACATGGTTGATTCATGTTGAAAGAAACTGCATTTGAAGTTATTGATTCTTTGCCCCAGCTTTTCAGCTGGAAGAAACAAACCTCTTGCTACAATAAGTACTGAACTTTTAAAAAACAATATCTAATGAGGTTAGCATATATTGTTGACATTTTATTTTCAACCAGAGTTAAGGTCACAGCTGAAAGGTCACAAAGATGATTTTATACAGTAAATAAACAATCATATTATTTTGCAAAGAAAATGAAATATCACAAACTTGTCTGTAGCCTCTTTTGTCTAAAAGTATGTTTGCTATGCTTAATTTTGGTATCTAAACTGTGTTGTCCTTCCATTTCTTAGATTTTGGGATTTAAAAAGGAAGTACGCCTAGTTTATGTGTCAGGGACTAATATAAACATGTGCTTTTCATTCATATTCTGGCATTATATTGAGTTTTTACATTTAACTCCTAAGTCCACTTAGTATTTGTTGGGTTTATTTGTGGAATTTTGGTATTTATTCTGTTTATTTGGTGAACTTCCTTTCAAGTTGGGAAGTTTTATTGATCACATTTGTTTGGAACCTTTACCTCTTCATCTTTGGTGTTTACAACAAAACTGTAAATTTATCATTAGAGAGAATATGTTGAAGTGATTTTGGAAAGTATTGGGCTGGATTATGGTTAAACAGTGAAAATGTGTGCTTTGGGGCACAATGCACAATAGAAATTATTAACTGCTTTCATATTATATATCACTACATAACAAAGGATTGATCTCTTAAATTTGTGGTAGCTGAAGACAATTTTAATATTGAAAATAATTTAATGGGTTGAAAAGTGTCATGGAACAGACAAACTTCTAATGCCAAAAACCATTAACATTTCCACTTTATATTGTCATCTAGTTAACATATTTTTAAAGCAAAGTAGTCCAGATAGTGTAATTCATTAGTTTTTTTTAAGACATTTTATTTTATGTTGGAGTATAGCCAATTAACAATGTTGATGATAGTTTCAGGTGCACACTAGAGGGACTCAGCCATACCTATACATGTATCCATTCTCCCACAAACTCTGCTCCCATCCAGGCTGCCACATAAAATTGGGCAGACTTCCCTGTGCTATACAGTAGGTCCTTCTTGGTTATCCATTTAAAATACAGCATTGTGTACGTGTCAATCCCAAACTCCCTAATTATCCCTTCCCCCCATCCTTCCCTCCTGGTAACCAGAAGTTCATTCTCTAAGTCTGTTTTGTAAATAAATTCATTTGTATCATTTCTTTTTAGATTCCACATATAAGGGATATCATACGATATTTCTCTTTCTCTGTCTGACTTCACTCAGTATGACAATCTCTAGGTCCTTCCATGTTGCTGCAAATGGCATTATTTCATTCTTTTTAATGGCTGAGTAATATTCCATTATATATATGTACCACATCTCCTTTATCTGTTCTTCTATCGATGGACATTTAGGTTGCTATTGTAAACAGTGCTGCAATGAACATTGGGCTGCATGTATTCTTTCGGACTATGTTCTTCTCCAGATATATGCCCAAGAGTGGGATTGCAGAGTCATATGGTAGCTCTATTTTTAGTTTTTTAAGGAACCTCCTTACTGTTCTCCATAGTGGCTGTACCAATTTACATTCCCACCAACAGTGTAGGAGGGTTCCCTTATCTCCACACAATCTCCAGCATTTATTGTTTGTGGATTTTTTGATGATAGCCATTTTGACTGGTGTGAGGTGATATCTCACTGTAGTCTTAATTTGTATTTCTCTAATAATTAGCGATGTTGAACATCTTTTCATATGCCTCTTGGCCATCGGTATGTCTTCTTTGGAGAATGTGTCTAACCTAAAATTTACTTTATTTTAGATGAACTCACAAATTCATCAGAAACCAGATTGTCTTTAGAAGACCTCTTCAGGAAAGAATTTGTGCTTCATGATCCAGAAACTCGATGGATCAATGGTATGTGTGTACATTCTTATATGTTATATTTATTTCAAGTTCTGTATAATTAAAATTAAATAGTGGTTTTTTTGACCACTGGTTGACCACCGGTGGTTATTTTAATTGACATTATGCTTCAATGATTACAGATACCATTTAATCAGAAATTTATACCTTGGCTCATGTGAGAGAAAACTAATTCCTAAGGTAGTTCATCAATAAAATTATCCCCCAAACATTAGATTGACTGCTCTGTATCTGCTCTTCCCTCATGAATCATTAGTTATGTGACTGCAAACACGTATTACATCTCTAGCATTTCTCTGGGTAATTCTCCTTGGTGTAGAAGTATAGATTTTGGGAGCGTACATATAAGTGATTCCGATTTGGCAATCAGATTAATTTTCTTCTCTCTCTTTGTGGCTTTTCTTTTTAAGTTTAAATGCCACAAACTAGGGAGACTCTCCAGTCTGAGAGTCTACAAAGTTGACTCTACAAAGTTGAAATGACAGAAGGGGCATGGGAACACATTGCATTTTTGCTTTTTGTGGCTTGGCAAACAAATCACCTCAGCTTTCCTTAGGTTATTTCTGATTTTGCTATTTTCAAAAAGTTTTAAAAAGAATTTAAATTACAAATACAATCAGTCAATCAATCAATCAATCAAAACCACTGAGTGGCTCCATGGACTTTGGCTTGTGTTTGTGGGAGGTGGTAGGGGGAGTTATTGGGTAATCCAGTTATAAGAAATGTGTTGGTGAAAAGGAAGTCAGATTTTCATTTCTGGAATATTACAATTTGCCTGACCATACTAATCACCATGGTTAGATAGCTGTTAATCTTTGTCCTTCATTTTATTTAGACATAATATCTTTGCTTGTTTTCAAGGCCTAGAGTAGGTTACATGTATGATAGCTAAGAAGAGCTTTGCCTTTGTGTCTGATGAATAACGTCTCACTTACAGTCCATCCTTTCTTCTGTAATATCCTAATTAAATACATTTATGCCTGCAAATTAAATGTTTATTTATGGAAGCTATAAAAAGAATGTAACTTAATTCATGAGGGCAGGAGGCAAATCATACTTGTTTACCTAGCACTGATACAGTTTCTGGAGAGTAGCAAGCACTTAAGATTTGGTTTTTTTGAATAAATGAATGAAATCATTTAACAAGTTCAGTTTTATTTTTTCTGTAAACTCAGGTTTCAGTTCAAATTGGTTGCAAGGTAAGTATTATCATGGTGATGATGTTACAAATAGAGGAAACAAGATAGCAGTTTTATTAATCTATTTGTATATTTTCATTTTGGATTGTTTATAAGTTTGGGTCTTGCCTTATTGTTGCCTTTGCACTATGATTATTTCAGAGGTACACTATGATTTATTTCAGATGAGTACTATTACTAAATTTAAAAAAAGGTATGGAATTACCTAGCCTTGCTCTAATACGTGAATCTCCCACAAATCATTCTCCTAATGTGCCACTGTAATTTTATAAGTCATCTTTTTACTTGCTAGCAAGTATTTTCTATTGAAGGAGATGACCAAAAAACTTTGAGTCATTAGATTTGAAATGCTGAATAATATTCCATTTTATTCATCATGATTTTGACCAAACTATAGAAATTTGTGCAGTTTTTGACTTTGGGAAGCAAGAAAAAAATCATGGGTCTCGTCCCCCTTCTCAGGTTAGCTTGAACTATTTAAAGAGGCATTTACTTCTGTGTGTAACTGACACTTTGATATCGAAGTATTAAAGGACTGGAGCGGTGTTTAAGCAGAGAACTGCATACTAAATTAAGCCACATTTCAATATGTAGGGCGCGCATTCTACTCTAATGCTTCACAAGATATCAAACTAAAATTATTTGGAGTTAATCATTTTTTTTCATAATTTCTTTACCAATCATTGGTAAAGCTGATTTTGAAAATATATCCTGGGACAAAGCTGCAGTGTATTATCATACTATAAATAAAACCTAAGATCAAATATATTTATAAAAGAACTTGACATAAAACAACTTTTACACAGAATTAAACAATATCTAAGCTCTTAGAGCCATGTGGTCTTTATAAATACCACTGAAAGAATTGACTCACTGTCAGTAGGTTGTGTGCACTGGGTTGCTTTTCCAGCAGGGGAATAGATTTGTGCTCATTTTTTCCTCTATCCAATCCAGATCACCTTTCTGGCAATCACTAGGTACTTGGCCTATTTACGTATTCCTCACAAAGCCAGATAATACAGTGGGGACTATAAATACAATGTGTAACCCTGGCTTCATTGTCACAGATTATATCTAAATGTAAAATGTGAGCTTCTTATTTATTCTCATGACATGTCTCACCAGGTTTCTATAGTATATAAGTGGCTTGAAGGAGTCTAAACTAAGCTCATTTGGAAGCTTCATTTAGTTCTTGGAGGTCACCATAGGAGCATTTAATACATTACTGGTCAAGGAGAAGGAGGGCATCTAGATGGCCCTGACACGTGTAGGCTGAAGTGTAGCAATGTCATTCATTATGCTGCTTCTCAAACAATATATCTGTGAATGTCAGTGCAGCCTTGGATGGGTGCTCGTGTTCATGGTTAGCGTAACAACTGCCTTCCACCAAATCTGCTCAGATCCTTGAAATCTCCATTTTTATAGCACCTTCTTCGTAGTTATGTCACCTTGAAACTCAGAAATCCATCTTCTTTAACATTATTCATCTCCCCACGTACATTTGAGGACCTATCAATCATCAAAGAAAAATCTAATATTAATTGAGTGCCTTCTACGCTAGGCTTTGTGCTGGATGCTTTATGGACATATTTCATAGATAGCATGTAAGTTATAATGATGAACCCCAGAAAACTGAGGCTAAAGCAAAACACTTATCCAAAACCACAGCTGATAAGAGGTGGAGCCTGCTTTAATCACTATGTTGAAGTATAAAGCCTACCTTCTCCCAGTGTTTCACTCTGAGATGACATTCCACATCTTTAACACATGCATTAACTACCTCTTTGACAATCTCATGGGTACAGATCTCACTGTGACTAATCCTTTCATGTTGAATATTGCAGTCATGTCATCTACCCCAAGGACATCCATATAATGGTAACTTATGCAGTCACTAAAAAAATTTATAAGCATATTTACATGTTTATGGTATAAAAAGTAAACAAAGGTGTCTTTAAAACAGAGTTGATAGTATGTGATTCACACTGTCTCTACTGTATACCAGTGAGTGTTTCCAGATGGCTGGATTTTGACCTGATATATATTTTTTCTTTTTGCTTATTCATTTTTTCCTGAATTTTTTCGATAAATATGTATGTTTGTGTGATTTTATAACTACTTTTTCTTTTTTTAATTTAATTTTTTTTTTATATTGGAGTATAGTTGATTTAAAATGTTGTGTTGGGTATACAGCGAAGTGATTTAGTTATACATATACATATATCCATTCTTTTTCAGATTCTTTTCCCATATAGGTTATTACAGAATATTGGGTAGAGTTCCCTGTGCTATACAGTAGGTCCTTGTTGATTATCTGTTTTATATATAGCAGCATACATATGTTAATACCAAACTCCTTATTTAGTTTCATGGGTCTCCAATCCTCCAGCAGTCTCCTACCAAATACAACTTTATAAGGCCCAGCTAAAAACTGTAAACACACTTCTCAAAAACCATCAGAGGAACCCCTTTGCCAGTTGAATAAATTACAAACTCCTCCCTTTCAATTCCAGACCTCTCGGAATCAAGCTTGGCCTCTATCCTACTTTTCTACTTAACATTATGTTTCAGGGGTATTGAACTGCTTGATATTCTTCATAAGGCTCAAAAGCTCTTTTGACTCTGTGCCTTTGCCGACACTACTTTCTCTACCTGGAACCCTCTCCCCAATCTGACCGCCCCCATTTTGTCCCACTGGAAACTTGATTCCCAGGTGCAAAGTTCTTTTTCCTGCCAGCATCATCTTCCTCTAAAACCCATAGGTTGATTCTCTCATATAGAAATTTCTTCCTTGATTATAATTATAACATGTCTAATCTCCTCTAAGACAGTGCTTCTAAAACTATTGTGAAAGAGCACTGTTTTAAAATTTAATACTTTGTTTGTATTTCCTATTTGGCATGAATCAATGTTTTTGAAAAACAATAAAATTATTAGAAAAATAAAATAAGTAAATATTACAAATACAGCCCCCAAATTTAGCTCATTATAATTAACTGTTTTAAAATTACATTGCAAAAATATATAATAAGTACCAACATAACATTGGAATAAAAGAGGAATTTCATATATTACTTTGAGAGCGGATATACAGGCGACTAATAGGATTGCTATTATATTCATAACTTTTTGTTATTGCTAAATGAGAATTAAACAAATATTGAGAGAAATAGTGATTATTCACATTAAATGCCAATTCTCAGGTTTTGAACAGGAACTGGCATATCAATATTCAGAGGTTTTAATGTAGGAAATGAACTTGCTTCCTTCTTGTTAACTAATCTAGGTTAGATTGACAACGGCACCACTCTTAGGGGATAATGTATGTTTAGACTGTCTCTATTTTTGTTTTAATAATATTATTGGAGAGAAGAAATCAGTCTCCAAAATAAGGATGATGGTAATGCAAGGAGATTTTAAAGCAGTTTTAACAATCTCAGGATGTTCATTTTAAGCTTTTATACAAAATGAATAAAGTGATACTGTATTTTTAAACTTTATCTTCAACTCTTTACCACTGGCTAATTTCAAAATTTATTCTGTAGATTATAAATCAGTTATCTTTTCATCAAAAAATATATTTTGGATTTTAAGTACATCTGGGGTATACTGGAAAGACTAAGGTTGAATCACAACATCATGTAATGAGGTTCTTCTGCGTATAGTTAGTCTGTTGCTGGCTCACCCATGGGTTCATCTGCTCAGTTAAATTAGGCCACTTATCATGCATTTGGATCTGGTGGCACTGTCAGATTGCTACGAAAGCATCAAATGCTTACCCTCAGCTCAACT